TTTTACTCGATTATAAAGGCAATAAACTTCAGTAGTAGATTTCCCACGAGATGGTGCGTCGATCAATTTTCGTGCAGAAAAATAATATGAATAAAATTTTCTAAAAATATGCGCCGCCACCATTTTCTTCTCAATTTTACATTTTGTGAATCATGAAGATTTATTTATTTTATATTTATGTAAATTTTTCCAAACGTTTTTGTGAACGTTAAATATTGGATTTGGATTTTTAGACGTATTTTCTTTTTTGTATCTTTGTATTTTATGCCTTCTGGATTTATATAGGCAGATTGTAGCGAAGATTACTTAGATCATAAGCATAAGAAAATACATAGCATAGAATGAGTATCTTGTTCCTGCCTATCCCTACGTATGCTTAGATCTTTGAAACTACGCAACGGATTATGATGCAGTTTGTTTAACATAACACATAACATATAACACAACATAACGCCTTTCATCCCTTGAGGGGTATGCAGATGTGTACATTGTGGCACTTAATACCGCTGTACAATGTAACACCTACTTTTCTCTATTTATGTTATGAGTCCCATGTAATAGGAGTTGAGCCTATTTCCATTTACCGGGCACAATTCCAGACTCCGTGCTACTACTGAGATTAAAAACCCAGTAATACTTTACCCGACCCGGGAATCGAACCCGTGACCCCTTGCCCGGCAGTCGCACTCGCGACCACTCGGCCAACGAGGCAGTACAATATTATATTATATACAAATTCAATTAAATGTATATATAGACAAATGAAATGATTTCGTATGCCAATTGATAGTTGGTGTCGATCATTTCTAAACATTATGGTTCTTATGTATTTGACATTAACAGCTATTAAAAACAATTTGTAATTTTTCTTCACGTAATCAAAATTATAATTTTTATAAAGGTTTTGCATAGCGCCACTCCATGCTATAACAAAGAAGAAACCAAGTAAAAAAACTAACTTAAGTACGAATTATGTCCCTGACTCAAGAACCGACAGAGGGACTTATATTTTTATTGTATTCTTGACTTGGATAGTACTTTCGTTAGTCTAATTAAAGCAAGACCTTTGACTTTTGCTCTCATTATTTGTTGCTTTAAGATGGTTCAAAAATGCAACGAGTCACTCAGGAAATCATTAGTGGTAGCTTAATTTTAGCTGTGGGCGTCTTGTGACTGACATGATAATATAATTGTGTATCTTATAAATATAGTTACATATACCATTTCATTACAAGTCATATATTCCAATTAAAACATCTGGAATAACCACTACAACCTTTTTGTTTATGGGATAAGCCGGTAAACGAGCTGACAAATCACCTGATGGTAAGCAATCGGCGTCGCTTATGGGCACCCGGGACACCAGAGTCGTTACAAGTGCAATTCCGGCACAAGGAATTGGAGGATTATTGGGGAGGGATAATTAGGTCTCTGGTTACTTTACTCACACGACGAAACACAACGCAAATTGTTTCACGTCAGTTTTCTATGAGGCTGTGGTGTGACTCCGGTCGAGCCGGCCCATTTGTGCCGAAGAGTCGTTCTCCCACACTTGAAACAAACACTCCTACACTTAAACTTCGTACCAAAGCCGACAAGATGTCTAAATAAAACCGTAACATACATAGATACACACGTAACGCGCAACACATTCACGAATATATTTTAGAAGACAAGTCTACAGGATTATTTGTAACCACATTCGCTCGGAAATTTTCAAACGACATTGTATGTTTTCCACGAGATGAGCTCTCAAAGACTTTGTAGGAAAATAAAGCAATTTCCTTTTCTCTTGTCCTCCACATGTAAGTTTTACGTCTTTTTAAGAACGTGCTTTAGTTTTTAAAGGAAATGGGAGCTTGTTGCTTGAGAGGTTAGAGCCGTTTTAATATGTCGGAAGTGAAATAAAATCGTAAATACAGTTGTGGTGGGCCGGAGGTTTAACTCGTCGAGTACCGTCATTATAGACACAATTATAGAACAATAGGTTGCGGTCACCGGTGACCGCTTGGTGTTTGACAGTTTAAGACGCCCGCTTCTCATGCATGAGGGTACGGGTTTCAAACTACCAACGGCAAGTACCAATGTGACGTTTTCCGAGTTATATGTACTTTGTAAGATTATTTAGATACCACTCACAAACGGTGAAGGAAAACATCGTGAGGAAACCTTATCTTATAATTTCTAATAATAAATTTGAAATTTCCAATCTACATTGCGCAGGCGTGGTGATTAATGCTCAAATCTTCTCCGTCCGAGAAGAAGCCTTTGGTCAGCAGTGACAACATATAAGGCTGTTGATGATGTTGTTGAAATAAAATACTTGTGTAATATCACTGCTATTGTTAATCTACTACACCCACGACACAGGAGAAAATCCTAGTGCGGGGCAACGTTTTCAATACATAGTATAAAACAAAGTCGCTTTCGCTGTATGTCCGTATGTATGCTTAGATCTTTAAAACTACGCAACGGATTTTGATGCGGTTTTTTTTAATAGATAGAGTGATTCTTAAGGAAGGTTTGTATGTATAATACATGCATATTGCACCCGTGCGAAGCCGGGGCGGGTCGCTAGTATAAAATAAAATACACCAGGTTCAACCCAGCCATTGACCTTGAAACCTATGCTCAGAAATCTTACATGCAACCTTTATAACAGTAAGGCAGTATATTTATTCATTCTTTGTTAGTTTTACTTCAGCACTACATTCAGTTTTCGCTTGAATAAATAAAATGTGATAGGCGTATTCTATTTTGAGATTCTCAATAGTAAACACTAAGCCTATATCTGCCAGGTAAATATTGACAAGTTTACCTTTCATGGTATAAATAATAAAATTGGCGAAGTAGTGAATACAAGTAGTAGTGAATACATGTACGTACATCTGTCTGTTTCCACGAGGAAAATAACGTCACGGTATATGATTACATTTACGATTTATGTCACTCTCCGTCTAACAAACCGACTTCAAGTTATCTCGACACCAAAAATGTACCTACTTCAGAGGACAAATTAAGTTAAAATAATATTCTTACTAAATTTTAGGGTGAAATGTGTCGAAAAACATTTTATTCGGTATACTTTACCTCAATTTAACACAAAACCCATTATTAAAGCAATCCTTTCACAAAAAACCTTTATTTGCTTATCAGAACACACCGGTAACGCCTACATTTGCGTTTTATAATCTTTGTATATGAGACCTTGCTACGGCTACGGCGTAGCAGCGTAGCGACTGGCGTAGCGCCAAGTGTAGCCCATCAGCCTTTATTGCGTCATATAAGTCTCTTGATTTTATATTTTCTTTGCAAACGGGTTGATGATTGCACAGCTGGTATTATTAAGTTTGAATAGCAACAAATTGGCCCATTTTTTGCGGTAACATTATATTTTCATGATTTATCGTTATTTTTAAAACAAGCTTCTTGTAGGGCGAACCGTAATTGGCTACTTATCGTTAAATCAAAGTACGAAATCACGCATTTGAATGGAACAACTGAGTGCCTTTAATATGAAGTGCCTTGTATCTTAATGTTATACTTTTCGGATATATCTTTCAACAAATATAACTGTCTTCTTGGTGAGAATTATTAATTGAATATTAAATGAGTTGAATTGTTAAATTTTCAGTGTGAAATTTTACCTTAGACCTTCAACTGTGTTATGTATTTGACAATAAAGTAGTCTATTGACACCAACTTAAGTGAATAACTAAAAAGTATACGTATACCTCTAGAATACTTATTCAAATATGTATGTTAATTTGTGAGTTCCTATTTAAAGTAGGTCTACTTTACCTGAGTTTTAGTTCACTTTAAACTACAATACAATTACAAAAGAATCAATTTACATGGGACTCGAGTGATAAATGAACAACATGCATAAAATTATACAGTGGCCAGGTAGGTCAACCTATCCTTATCTATTCAATTTCTCCATTACATCTTCAACTCTATTGTATTGACATAAAGTCGAAAAACCAATAAGTAAAGACAGAATGCAATATTCTGATGATCTGCTGGGCACTGTTCATTGTTCACTTATATGCTTTCAGTGGTTAAACGGCATCCCTTAACTTAATTAGAATAACTAGAATTTACTAAAAATGATCAATCGCTATTCGCCAATCACTGTGACCACGGCCTACCAATTTTCAGGGGCGATTTTTTTAATCTCCACGTAAACACGATGAGGTTGTGTCAAAGAGAAGGTTTTACATATTCATGAGAGCGGCCTGTTATGCAGGCTTTATTGTGAATGGTCAGAATTATGATCCGGTGTGTTTCATATTTTTAGCCAGAAGCAATGGAAATGTGATTTTAAAAAAATATTGTCACGTGAGAGTCGTATGGGTGAGGTCTGTATGTATTTTGATTGAGGTCTGTTTGCCTGTATGCTATGTAAGCTGGTTTATTATTATTGAAGGTCTAAATTTGGGATTGCTGCTGGTAATTGATTCGGAATGAACTTGGGAATGCCCGTAGTAGTAAGATCAGACTTAAGTTTTTAGATGTATCACAATTGATGTTAATCTTGGTTTTAATATTCGTCTTAGATTAAAATGGAATTTTTCATAGTTATGTTATCTACGTTTCAATGCTAACTACAAAACTAAGTATGGTGGAGAATCCATAAAACAGTTTCCTAGGTTTTATAAAAACTTAAAATTCATTGTTAGGAAATATGATTCACGATCGTGCATACTCACATTTTTCTCCGAATCCATATCGATAAAACTACGGTTACAAGTAAATACACAAAGATTTTTCTATCGTTTCCTCGTATCGTCGCATCACACAATAGACCAAAGTGCTACTGTACTTTGAAAATAAAAGCGTAGATTTCTCTTTGATCAAAAACACGCACCTGTTTGATGTCAAAACGGCGCAAAACGCCTAACAATAATCCCTTTCGAACATTTTTGACGACAAAAGAAACTTAACTTACTTTCTTTTACAGGTAACAACAATGGAAATGATTTCGCCGGAACCACACATCGACACTCTTCTACAAGTAAACGGGACCTGAGAAAAAAAATGTGAAACATGAAACTAGAAATCGTATTGGAACCTGACAATTTTACTTTTGACATCGCAGATTTGTCTACATCAATGTATCTGACGGATATTTACGTGAATAAGACTTTGGAAGTTAATGAAACGACCAATGACTTGGTATACTCAAACCAGTTCGAGGATGATCCCCTAATAGTGTTTCTAGTGATATTAAAATGTTTGATAATGCTGTTTATTATACTGGCTGCGATATTTGGAAATCTGCTCGTAATAGTTTCGGTGATGAGACACAGAAAGCTAAGAGTGATTACGAACTATTTCGTTGTATCTTTAGCCCTGGCTGACATGCTTGTAGCAATATGGGCTATGTGCTTTAACTTCAGCGTGGAAATTACAAACGGAGAATGGTTATTTGGGTACTTCATGTGCGATGTTTGGAACTCCTTGGACGTGTACTTTTCTTCGGCATCCATTCTCCATCTATGCTGCATCAGCGTCGACAGATATTACGCAATCGTCCAACCTCTAGACTATCCCCTGATAATGACGACTGCTAAGTTGGGGATCATGTTGGCAGTGGTCTGGTGCAGTCCAGCTTTAGTCTCGTTTCTTCCAATCTTCATGGGTTGGTACACAACAGAAGATCACTTGAACTTTAGGAAGCGTTTCCCAAATGTGTGCAGTTTTACTGTGAATAAGGTGTATGCTGTGGTTTCGAGTAGTGTTAGTTTTTGGATACCGGGAGTCATCATGCTGTATATGTACTACAGAATCTATTTGGAAGCTGAGAGACAGGAGAGGATGTTGTACAGGTGAGAATCTTTGTTTTATATTTTTTAATTCTCTAAATCTATTCATTTTGAATCAAAATCACATCGGTTGATATCCAAAGAAGAAAGGGCAGTTAAAAGGCTTTGCAGTTAAAAAGTGTTTTAAGTTATTCTTACTGAATGATAAGGTAAATACTGAAAGCTTATCTCTAGCCACTTCGTTGGAAAATCATAAACGTGATTCTATGGTGAATACAGAAAGAGTACGGAAACTTAATTTATAGGAAACATATAATCGTCTATATTATAACAATAGCTTTATTTTCAGAATTAAATAATGAAACGTAATGGAACGTAAACGTAAACTTGGTTATTATGCAATTTAAAATGTCTAATAATATTTGTAATGCATTCAAGGAATTAACTATTTACAAGTTACTCAAGTTAGTATACTGAGAAAAGCTCTACTAGTTTCGAGTCACAGAGGGACTCTTCTTCATGAGCAGCGTTTGTAATCGCAGTGACGTCGCACAGCTTACGTCGTGGAAACATTGAAAATTAATAAATTCATCAAAGATATTTTGTTCCAATGAAATATTTTTAGTAAATCTGTTACAAAATATTTAACAAAACATTTCGGTAATTATATTTTGAATTCAAAACCTCTTTGTCATTTAAAATACATCAACATTTGCTTATTATAAAGGACTACGTGTATCTATTTGTTACTAAACACCAGGGAATAATTCTATTTAAGCACTTAATGAGATTATGGAAGTAGTCAGAGAATAAAAATTTACACACTCAATAATAGCCACATCCACTTTAAGTAATAATAATATTTATAAAATATCTAGACTTAGCTCACGAGGTTGTCGACATGTGGAGTGTGGATTCAGCTATCATTGTGCCGATAGTCGTGTCGGCCAATGGGTTAATCCCTAAAAGCCTCGACATCCATCTCAGGAGGCTGGCGTTAGGTGGATGGACCAAGGGCCTGATACAGAAGTCAGTTCTCCTAGAAATGGCACGTGTCGTGAGGAGGTTTCTGTCTCTGGAGCCCTAACCACCGGTAGCTTGGACCATGCTCCCGCTACTGGTTGGCTTCTACTTTTTATATTTTTATTTTATTTTTTTTATGTTGTAATTTGTATTTAAAAATGTAATTTATAGAGAATTTTAAATAAATATGTGGAATATTTAAAATATTAGAACAAAGTTTTGTAAAATAAAAAGTGTAATAGAAAGCTTTCTCGTTTTCTCCCTCGTACGTTGTTCAAAGTGTACTGATTCGAGAAATTGTTATTGGGATTTTCGATTTCGAAATCGAGTCCACTGCTGTACATGGCGCAGAGCCAAATCCAGTATTTGAACAATTAAGGATGAAATTGCACAATTTCCACGTACTGTCCGTATGACTTTTAAAAGGGGATGACTTCAGATTTTTTTTTACATTGAGCTTCTTTGAATACCCAATTGTATCTAATTAATGTATGTCCATTCGTCGGGTTCAAATGGTTAGCTTCGAAGCATAGCTTCTTCTGTGTATAACATCTGTAATGCAACTTAACGGGTAACCGGGGCTTCGGCTCGACGTGCAAGAGAAGGAACGGGGTGGTTTTTAGTCAGTAAGAGTCTGACACTCCCTCCCGCCTCACCCAGGCGGGAGCAGTTATTCGATGATTTTCCCACCTTAAAAAAAAAGCATTCTGTAATGCTAGTTTGTCACTTATTTTATATTAAGGCTTTAATTGCCAATAAAAGCTGTTGAAGAGAAATCCTCCGCTAACGTCGGTCACCGGTGACCCACATGGCGTTTAACGTAATTATATATTTCCTTGCTGTGCCAGACAGGGTCTACAATGATCTGTATTATTCTATGGTACCATTGAATTTGAATCTTTGTATACCATGTTTTTACATAAATAAATGTACATCTTAATCTTTATCCCTATGATGTCACAGCAGTTAAGGATAACTCTCATATTCGTTCTATAGGTTAGGTATACGGTATTATTCAGTTTTAAATCGAGAATCATAGCAATACGTACTACGTGGGTTCAGCAAATACGCAATTTTGCGCTGTTTTCAATGCCTGAAGAGGAATAACCTCATTATTATGATTTTTTTATCTTTATTTTATTATAGGGTTTTCTCTTCATAGAAAACGTCACCCCGATTATTAAATACAAAAATAATAAAAAAGAACATTTATATTTAGTCTTATATTTAAGTTAATCTACCCATGTGTTACTATTTCCAACTAGTTACTGCGCAAAATTCTAATTTAGTTGACATTGGGGCAATGTGTGATTGCTAGCTGATATCACAAATCACATGCAATTGATAAGGAATCACGATAGTGATAACAATGAAGATAAGTTCATTATATTGATAAGACAAGTAGGCATTTATTGCGAAAAGTAGTCCATGTCAATATAACTCTTTCATGATTAGTTTTCGAATAGATAGTGATACAATGACTGTAGTTACAAAGTCGAAAGTATTTGCCTCTGTAAGTAAATAAAAAATACGTGTCTAATGTTTTTAAACTGTCAAACACCAAGCGGTCACCGGTGACCGCAACCTATTGTTCTATAATTGTGTCTACAAAACCGGTACTCGACGAGTTAAATAATGTACCAGACGGACCTTAAAACAAAAATTAGTCATCTGCCATATTCCATAATGACTTTTATAATTTGTTTTTATTGGATAAGCAGCAGCCGATTGCTTACGAGCAGACAGATCACCTGATGGTAAATTGTTGGCGTCGCCCATGGACACTTGGAATACCAGAGGCGTTACAAGTGCGTTACCGGCCTATTGGGGATTAGGAGTGTGAGGAATATCGGGGATTCAGGGATTGGGAAGGGGGAGGGAGGGAAATAGTTAAGTCTCCGGTAACCTCACTCACACGACAAAACACAACGCAAGTGTTGTTTGACATCGGTATTCTGTGAGGCCGTGGTATCACTCCGGTCGAGTCGGCCCATTCGTGCCGAAGGATGACTCTCCCACACTAATATAAATGGGACAAATGTAACCCATTTTTCCGACTTTGGACTTAGGATGTCTTTTTAGTGTTCAACTAACACAACATTAACTATCGTACCTCCAATCAATATAAACAATTTAATTATTTCCCTCTAACTAATTGAACCACGTCAATAGTACATTGACCTTCATTAGTAGATCCCTCCCTTGAGGTTCGACCTTTTAGACCCTCAGTAATGAAGATAATTCTGATCACGAGTTAATGAGAGAGGGTTTAGAATAAATAATTATGTTTATAGGTAATGTGTTTGTTGATGTGCTGTGGAGGTGGTAGGAAGTGTATTTGTGTCTGTAAACATAGTTTTTATTTTACACTAGTTGTTGCCCACGACTTCGTCCAAAGTCAAAGTCATAGTCAAAGCATTTATTTCAATTAAACCATAATTTGGTACTTTTGAAACGTCAACAAATACAAAATAAATAATAGTCTGTGAGTTAGTCCGTCAGTGAAGCTAGGTGAAGCTAGGTGCTCATTCCAAAATGTATATTCGAATGGAGAAGAACGAGCAAGAAACTCCATTCGTTACTCTTTTTAAAAAAGTGTGTTCTACAATGTCTCTGATACATATTCCAATACTGTATGTACATGTGAAAACAATGCAAAGACACGCTTGACGCATTATACCTACTAATTATAACCTAATACTTACTAAAATAAAAAAAAAACGAAAAAAAAAATCTTATAGTCTAACATGGTGCTCACATAATTATGCATACTGACAATCCCGACAATTCCGCGTAAATATATGTATATGATATGAATTTTAGGACATACCATTTTTTTTTGGTTTTTTTTAAAGTAAACCCTTTGTCCATACACTCATTAGTACATCAGCTACCTGCCATTAAAAGTCCCGTCAAAGTCAGTCCAACCATTTCAGAGATTAGTTAGTATAAACAGATTTACAGACAGACAGACAGACAGACAGATTAAAGAATATTTATTTTGTTATATGTACCTATCGTGTGTATATTCATATGCATGTAGTAAAAATCGGTCTTTTTCAATATTACAAACAGACACTCGAATTTTAATTATCTGTATAGATGTAACTAGATACTCCCATACTCCATCCGGAGCCGCGGAGAACCTAACGGGTTACCGGGACTCCGGGTCGACGTGCAGGAGTAGGAACGGGGTGGTTTTTAGTCAGTAAGTCAGACACTCCCTCCCGTCTCACTCAGGCGGGAGAAGACATTCGATGATTGTCCCCCCTTAAAAAAATCCTTATATCCATACCATCAAAAACTTCAGGAAAAATAACATCTGAGCTTAGACAAATGGAACTAAAAATAAAAAGTGTAATTTTTGGAAATTAACTTAAATCGGGTCGTCGCTCGTCCGTCCGACCCGTCAAACCGTTCGTCCGTCTAATGAATACTTAATCTGTGACTCGGTGACAGCTAATTATTTTTTTTTATTCGCAGTTAATTTCATTATTTACTTAAGTATTTAACTGTGTAATTGGATATTTAACTGTGTAATAGTATAAGTGTGGGAGAGCCATACTTCGGCACGACCGGAGTGATACCACGGCCTCACAGAAAACCGACGTGAAGCAACGCTTGCGTTGTATTTCGTCGTGTGTGGTGTGAGTGAGGTTACCGGAGGCCCAATTACCCTCCCGTTCCCCAATCTCTCCAATCCCTGAATCCCCAACGATCCTCAAACTCCTAATCCCCAAAAAGCCGGTAACGCACTTGTAACGCCTCTGGTGTTCCAGGTGTCCATGGGCGACGCCGATTGCTTACCATCAGGTGATCCGTCTGCTCGTTTACCGGCTTATGCCGTAAAGAAAATACTAGCTTCTCAGTGATGTTTTATTTTTGGTGTTTACGTACTTGGATGATGGATATATCCTTGCTTAACTCCTGTTTTGAATGCTTCATTGGTGAATGGTCGCAAGTGCTACTGCTGAGCAAAATGATTTCGGCATCAAATCTGGGGTCCAACTAAAGAGTATAATATCGATTGTATTGGTTAT